AGGTTCTCGCGGAGGGCGCGCCCTGCCCAGGACCCTTGCGCCTTCACCCTTCCGACACCGCTCACCGCCGGGGCGGGGGCTGGAGTGCGCTGCCTACTCGCAAATCTCGTTACCCCTCCGCCCCCCAAATCCACCGAGCTGGGGACCTGGATCACACCTGGCGCACAAGGAAGCCCCTCTGCCGATGTGAAGAATTGGCGAAAAGCCGTGCGCTCCCCACCCCACAAGCACCTTTGAGAGATTTTAGGTGACGACCCAGTTCCTCCCAGCTTCGCCCCGTTTCTCAGGTGCCTCCAAGGAGCGGAACCCCGCATTCTGGTGACGCGCCCACCAATGCTTTGCCTCCCCTACAGCACCCAGTGTGGTGCGCGGGGACCGGAGCGCGCACAGCAGGGGCAACTTAAGATGCTAGCTGGTGAGCCCGCGGGCTCAGCTCTTGGTCGCTGCACCGGCTGCTGGAGCCACCTCCGCGCCCAGTGGGCCGGCTTCCCAAAGTCACTCCAAGCGGCCCACAATTCAGTCTTCCTCTAACCAGGTAGGTGACTGTGCCCTTTAAGAATCTAGTGGTAGAGCCTTCCTGTTCTCTCCCCAATACATCAGAATTTTATTTAAATGGCCATTTACTGAGCGCCTCTCTGAACCAGCTTCACATATAAGGCCACTGTGGTGAAGGAGATGCAGGTTACCAGTATTTCACAAGGAACCGGGGGTTTACAGAGGGTGAATGACTTGCCCCAAAGCACAGAGGCCACTTTTTTTTCTATCAAGTCTGGTAGCCTTTCTATCCCCCATCAAAGCCTGCTCTCAAAAAGAGAGGGCTTAACATACCATTTCACACCAAAGTGTTAATGACATAGCTAAGGCGTTTGCATTTGTAATCTATTTTAAATAGGAAAGCCCCCCGAATACATGTTATTGTGTGGTGTTTCTCAAATGTAAGAGAAACCCATATCCTCCGCTATTCTAAGGGCAAAATTTTCTTAGACCTCCTCAGTATTGGCTTAAATTATTTTCTTTAAAAATGTTGTGTATAGATATAGATATATACACATATAACCAGATATAAGCTTAAGTTACAGCTTTTGAACAACTCTGGAATAAATCCAAAACAAATTTATAAATAACATAAAATCCTCCTCCCAGAACTATAAAATTTGAGTTAGTAATGTTTACTCAACTACTAGCCTTACATGGTACTGACTGCCTAGGTTGGGTCCATTTGAGTTCTGTGTGGTTCTCCACTGTCATGGTGTATGAAGTGCCCTGCATTGACCCAATTTTCTCACCTTTTTCCTGTTCCAGCGATTACACCTTTCCTCATGCCCTGTGTGTCATTGTAATACAGCATTGAATTCTAACACATCATTTGGAGATGAACTTTGTGCTGTTCCTTTGTTATTAGCATCAGAACTGAAGTGGGAGCTCTTGGTGTCGAGGCCTGGCACACATAAGCACTGAAATCAGGAACAAGTACTTGGTATCATTCACTTGTTATCATAAACAGGAAAAAATTACATTATGAATTTTCAAGAGGCTGGAGCACCCAACTGGAGAAACACCATTAAAAGCCAAATACTTAATAGAGGAGCTGAGGATTGAATTGGAAGGAGGGAGAGAAGGGACAGAATTCCCAACTGTGCTCCAGTTGTGTTAGTTTTACTCCAATTCAACGAATATTTACTTAAGCACACATTACACTTAAAGCATTGTGCTGGGCTCCAAATGAAAGAGCTGGCCACAAGAAGACAGAACAGGACATAAATAAAAGGCATTTATTTATGGCATTCAACTGTGGGAGCACCACTCTAGGCTCTTCCACTTCTTGGCTGTGTAGCTTTTGGCAGAACCTTTCTGTGCCTCAGTTTCCTCCTCTGTAAAATGAAGACTACCTCATAGGGTCGTTGGAAGAACTGAGTGAATTAATACACATAACATGGTTAACACACTGCCTGGCACAGAGCAAGCCCTCAGTAAACACTGGCTATGTTATGTCTGTTATGCCACAAGAACATCCCTTAGCTCCGTCTTGCAGCACACCCTGGCCCACTTTGACATTCGTTAAAGCTCCTTTGTCCTGGCAGCTTTAAAAATAACATTGCAGCCGAGTTAGGGAGGAAGAATCACAGAGAACAAGGTAATTATTGCCATCATTCAGAGTCAAAAACTGAGACACCTAAGGGCCCAAAAACACATCTCTCTCCTATCGCCATTCCCACAGCTGGTCTCAGGCCTATTGGCCCTACCCAGGCAGCAGCCCTCCCTACAGATGACTCAGGGGAGCTCAGGGCTTGAACAAGCACCGCAAGCTTCTGTTGTTTCCTGGAGCTGTCAATAGTAAAATGAGAGGATACTATGTGGCTCCAAGGTTGTCACTGTGATTGCCGAAAGGACAACGTTGAGGACAGATGTATAGGGTACTTTGAGGTCCAACAGAAACACCCTGTGTAAATACAGGTATCCCTTTGCTTTCCTTTTTGTATTTGCTCACTCCTTTCCCTAAATAACAAAATAAGAAAACCAAAATCCTCACTGCTTCTTAAGAATTAAATTCAATTCCATAATTGTAATTCTCAAATACTTTCCATATGTATAGCAATTGAATGCAGCCAATCAATGTTTCTCTCTCTCTCTCTCTCTCTCTCTCTCTCTCTCTCAAAAAAAAAAAAAAAAAAAAAAAAAAAAAACCCCCCTCTTTTTTTTCTCCTGTG